CTCATCCGGATGGATTCCACCCCAGCCCAGCACCCGGGGTTCTGATCCCTAGGCTGGCAGGCAGCAGCTCCAGCCCAGGAGGATGCCTGGGAGCAGGTGAGAGGGGTTCAGAGCAGTTCTATCCCTGGTTTAATCCCTGCCTTAGCGAAGGGCGGGGGCAAGGGGAGGGTCAGTGCCAGCCTTGCCAGGCAGTGCTGCTCTGAGCCCATCTGCTTCCCACTCCTGCTTCTGCAGAGCTGACCTGTGAGGAAGAGGAAGAGCCTCTGCCAGGACAGAGTGCTCAGACCTTGGCAGCTGGGATGTACAGAAGAGGTGAACTCAGCCCCATCCACCCACCACAGGCGTTTGGTGAATTTGCACTGTGGAGGGGCTGGCACTGCCTGGGTGAAACTAACTGCAGGATAAACTGCCAGGCTCTGCCATTGGCACCTGAGCAAACCATCATCAGTCCTGTCAACCTTGGACAGCCAGAAGCTGCCTGGAAATGGAGAGCAGCACCCATGGGAGATGTGCCCCTGTCAGGGCAGCTTGGGGTGCAGCTGGGAGAGCAGTGCTGCCACCTCTTCCCATCTGGAAGGGACCTTTCAAGGCCATCTACTCCACCTCCCTGCAGGGACAGGGACATCTGCAGCTAGAGCAGGGTGCTCAGAGCCCCCACCAACCTCCCCTGGGATGGTTCCAGGGATGGGGCAGCGACCACCTCTCTGGGCAGCCTGGGCCAGGGGCTCACCACCCTCAGCATCAGAAATTTCTTCCTTCTCTCTAGTCCAGATCTCCCTCTTTCAGTTTCAAACCATCCCCCCTTGTCTTGTCCCAACAAGCCCTGCTCAAAAGTCTCTCCCCAGCTTTCTGACAGACCCCTTGAAGTCCTGCAAGGCCACCAGAAGGTCTCCCATAACTTTATATCAATGAGATATAACACTCAGCTCTGCTCCACGAGCCCCGGTGGCCGCACCAGCTGCAGCTTCCAAGCTATCCACAAGCTCTAGAGGCAACAGCTGGTGACAGGAGCACCCACCCTGGCACAGAAGCACCTCAGACCTGCAGCCCCACGGGGGTGGCACCACAGCAGCAGGGTGGTGGCTCTGGCAGGGGCCGACTCACCTTGGCATGGTAGGTGATGGCGCTCTTGGCCACGGCGCACTGTTTCTCCACCAGGAAGCAGAAGCGCCTCCTCTCCTCTGTCAGAGCCGTCTTGTACCCCTCGGAGACGTAGTTCTCCAGCTCTCCCTGCTTGTTGCTGATGGCCTCGATGTACTACAACAGAAAGAGAAGCCCCAGCTGCCCCCGTGCCACGCCACCGAGCGCAGGGCAGGGGCTGCCGTGGTGCCCTCCCC